TCCCGCTGGATAAAGGATATCAGGGCGCCAGGCAGGACGTTCCCCAGGGACGCCCAGAGTAAAAGAGCCCTGTGTATAAGTGCACATCAACAGCGCTGCGAAGGGTATCTCAATGGTGCTTAAAATACACAATGTACCAGTCAGGAGCAGCGGTTATTCAACCCCACGCCCCGGGGTTAATGCCTAACCTGTTTTCATTCCAGCCGAGTCCCGGCGGCCCACCGAGAGAAAAGGCGAAACCCGCTCCTCGCCCCCAGTACCTCGATCTCCTGCAGCTGCTCCTGATTGGTGGAGTACATCTGCTGGAGCCCCTCCTCCAGCTCGCGGTTGCGGTCCAGCAGGGTCTTGCCCAGCTCGGCGGCCAGGTGCAGGTCTGGAACACACAGGAGAGAGAGGCGGGACGACTGAGGAGGGGACAAGGCTTTCTACACGCTGCAGAGCCAGGGCAACCCCGAGCATCGTGGTGGGTATCTGGGACAGCTCTGGGTGTCAGGTGGAGGGCATCGATGTACTGACAATCCCCTTAATTAGTCTGCTGTTATAGAAGAATCAGGTCAAGTCCCACAGGACCCCTTAAGACTTAACAGTTATCTCAGTGACAGAGCCGGAAAACGTGTTTTTAAGCACCAACAAAAATCCCGGGGAGTTTCAGACTGTGCCCAGGTGTTAATGACTGATGCACTGAAATTTAGATGCTTGGCAATATTTTCTCCATGTGAAATAGTTTCAGTTCAAATCTGAAACACTAAGGCTGGGGGTTCTGGGGGCTCGTATCACAGATGGCAGATTCCTTCCTTGTGAACATGTCCTTTCCTGCCTGCGTTTCCTTACGCCTTGAAAACCCTTCTCACTGCTCATCTGCTTTGGGATTCATGACCTGCAGCAGTATAAACCTGCACTTTCTCTGTGCAAAAGGTTATTAGATACATGAAGCAAATCCTGCAATTCTGATTTCTGCAGACTATCTGTGCCGGCGGCACACAGCGCCTGTTACATTGCAAATGGAGAAAAATCTAGATTTAAAATAAGTGTCATAGCTAGGGAACCTGTCCACACTTCGTTTGCATTGTCCATTTAAGTGACCTCAAGTTCTTTTTCCACTGGGTGTTGTATTCATAAGGTGTGGAGAAATATACCTCCAGAGTGTGAAAGCAGGGTACTCTCCGTCTTACAACTAAATAGTAGCTGACGTCTATAATGCCTATTTATGGTCTCTCTCTTTAATTCTAGGTTGTGTCTTACTTTTTTATTTTTGGTAGTTAAATCATCTTGGGGTGTTAGTCCAGTAGGGTCGCTGCAGAGCCAGCCAGACCTGACAATTAAGAAATGCGGTTTTGCAGTTACACAGTGTTGAGAGGGAAACTGGCCTGTGTCTAGTTTGCCCATCTTCCTAAGTAGAGGTGCAATATCTTGCATTGCTCAGGACCTGCAATCCGTTTTCTGCCAGCTCATCGTTTCACAAAGAGCCTCGTTTAAGTGGCGCTGGCTCACACACAGGGGTCTGCCTGAGGCTCGAAAACTCAACCGTCTGATCACCTTTGCCTTGAGCATCCACCACTGACACTCAGGAGAAACGCACTCGGAAATTCACCCTCTACAATTTACTTCTCGAGTCAGAATCCCAGAGGTGCAAACAATATCTGTGAGACATTTTAGAGACAAAGCCACATTTCTACTTATTGAATGTGGAAGCATAAAGTGAGCAACAATGGTTAGCCCAGGTCTTCTGAAGTCTGACGGAACTAGTATCAGGCAGACAAACGTGAATGTATTGAGATGAAGTGGCAAACAGAATTGTTGCTGAGGTTTTTAGTGGTCTGGAAGTGACTTGCAGTTCGATACTGTTTTACACCCTAAACTGGAAAAGGTGAGAGAGCAGCTTCTCCTTGCGTTAAAAAAACCCAACACTGCAAATGATTACAGCCTACAGCACAAAAACACCGATTTCATTACCTCCCAGCAAAATAACTTGGAAACACAGTGAGACGTTTGAAGCCGAACATGTCAAGAACCCAGAACTGTGCTGCCCAAGTAACTGTAACGTAAAGAGGAGGTCACGAATCTATAATATTTCCTTGCACTTGTATAGTGCTCTTCAAAGGATCCCCGAGCGCTTTGTATACAGGAGGGGACCCACTTCGCTGCTCGTGAGGTGCAGCACACAGCACCCTCACCGCACAGCAGGTCAGGGGGAGCACAGAGAAATATATCCTCAATTATTTTTGCATGTCGTGAGGTTATAAATTAGTTCATTAAATGGGTGCACATTGGTCGTAAACATTCTTATCTCGGGGGATGCTAAAAGCTGCATCTGCGTCAGAAAGCTGCCTTGTTTCCAATGGGTTAATTTCTTGATCCAGGAAATGCGAGCGCAAATTCACAGGGAAACCGCAGCTATCTCAACTGGGAGCCGAGCGACACATCGATGCAACACTTGTGTTTGCGGTGAATTTCTGTTCATCGAAAAGCCTTAAACTCGGTTATATTTTGAAGAGCTCTGACCATTTCTCGCGGCTAGTCAACGACATCCTTCCTTACAAAAACAACGTGCAAGGAAGAAGTCACTGCTCTCGGCAGCTCAGTGCATGCTCCTATTAATGCCTTCCGAGCATATCATTGCTTTTTCGAGCACTTGGGCGGTCCAGTCTAGCTTGGCTTTGCTGCTGTTGAAATCGCGATGACAAAGGAGTCAGATAAGGCTGCTTCCTCTCTGAGCTGCAGTAGCTGCGGGGAAGAAGTGACCAGGCGAACAACTCCCACTTCTCACGGGAGACGAGCGGCTTGCGAATGTGGCCGAATTTATCGACAAAAAGGGCTTTGTGCGAGATCCACCGACGCGACTCAGCGTTTCCCAGATTATGCTGCAATTCACATTCAATTCTAAATCACACCCCCGGCAACGAACATTTTCACGCCGGGTCGGAAAAAAATAGCAGAACATTACTGCTAAAACACAACACTGTCGTGGAGTTTTTAAACCCCCGACCGTCCGCAGCACTGCGGTTTAACCGCGTTGGGTTAAAGCAAGCATTACATGTATATATATATACTTGCTTTTAACATCTTCTTTTACATCGATCTGTTACTAAAAATCAGTGTTCATTTCTTACAAGGGAAATGCATCCCCGGGAACGCAAAACAAAAACGTGAGGACAGTTTTACGAAACAATGTAGACGCTGCATGAGATTTTTTGGGGATGGGGACTCGCTTTCAAATGGGCGGCTCGGTTGTAAACCAACGTTTTGACAGGCGACACTAATCATACAACAGAAACGCGCACGTCGCCCTAAGAGGCTTGTTTCTGGGACGCATCTCCCCCGCTGCCCGCTGAGCGCACAGCCCCGGGCGATGGGTGAGCCCCGGCGCCGCTACCTGGCTCGGCTCTCTTCAGCACCACTGAAGAGGAGTTTAAATGCCCCAGCCCTACCGTGCTCCAGGTCCCGGTGGTCATACCACGGCTCCTCCTCCTTGATCTCGAACTCTTCCTCCACCATCATATCGGTCAGCATGTTCGCGGCCGGGGTGGGGAGGACGACGACTCTGGGGACTCTTGTCCTCCGCTGGGCAGTTCTGTCCCGTCCTTTTTTCCTCTGTCTCGGAAGAGCGGGCAGCTCCTGCTCCTGGGTGCAACACACACACACACACCAGCACGCTCGCCGGCGACTGAGCTCGCGACGCTCTGGAGCCTCCAGCGGCTCGCACGGGCTGCAGCAACGTGGCACCCAACCCCTGCGCCGCGGCGACGTCAGGAGCGGGCGTGTCAATGGGAGCCGACGTCACTTGATCGCTTGGAGGGGGCGCATTGAAACGCCGGGGAGGCGGGTCCGGAACGCCGGGCAGCGTCCAATCACCGCGGGCGGGGGGAGGGTCTCAGGTGGTGGGGGGTGCCCCGCCCACTTCCGCGATACGCGGGCTCCGCGCGCGCACACAGCTGAGCTGGCTGCGAGGATATCGAGAAATCGTAGGTTCAGTTTTAACTCATTCATTTTTAATTAACCTTTGATCAAAGAGGAGAAAATAGGAGTGTGCGCAAGAGAGCCACTGCAGGAGTCGCCATTGCTAGAACCTCAGACTTTTCAACCCGTGAAACTGCATGTTTTTTTTTTCTGAAAACAATAGCAGTGGTTTGAAAGTCTTTTTGTGAAGAACTTCCGTTGTAGTTGTTTTGTGTCTTTTCACAACTAATGAGTTATAACCATCGTCGCAAAGCAAGCTCGGCTTCAGAAATTGTGTTTTTTTTTCTTAAATATTTGTCATAAAAACGCAGAAATGTATCAAAGGAATCGATTGACAAGAGGGGCGGGGTTTCAAAGTGCCAGTTACTGTTTACTGCTAGTGTTTGTTGGTTTCTAAAATGCTTTTAAACCTCGTTTATGTTAGAGAAATATATATTTGCTATATATGTTGGAGAAAAATACACTGACAAACCACAGCCCAGGGAAAATCTGTTTATCTGTAGCCGAGAGAGTACAGTGACAACAATTTACTGTGGTGTTTACCGTGATTCGCACCTCTCAATGAGGTGAATGCAATGGGGTTTTTATATTGTGCATGATAGTATATTCTTAAGAGTAGGAGTGCCGGATCTTTCAGTTTTATACAGCTTCTGGGGCACAGCATGTTGTGTTGTCAGCCTGGCTTTAATGGCAAAACTGACAATTCCTGCAATGCCCACAAACCAGCCTGACTTGTTTCGGGAATCCTGTTCCTTGAGCTCAATGACTGGTTGTGCTTAACTAAAACCCTATCACTCTTTCCCTGTTTCGTTAGCTGTATTATGAGATCGCACTTAGATACCCCCGTAGTAATTCATTGTTTGTCTGTTATTAGCCGCGCTAGCCCTCGATAGCTCACGGTCCGGCGTGCGGGAAGGCGTCACGCGTGGATGAGCACCCGCGCCAGGGCGCGCGCCGCTCCGGGGAACCCCGCTCAGGGCTCTCACGGGGGCGGAAGGGCGGCCGGCATGCGGCTCCTGGCGAGACTCGGGGTCCACCCGGGCGCGCTGGCCTACTCCATGACCACGCTGGGCGCCGGCATGATGAACAGCATCTTCAGCTTCTACTACGTCAAGCTGTTCCTGGACAAGTTCCAGATCTCGGAGTCGGCGTTTCACCAGGCGCAGGCGAGTGCTGACCCACGGGGCTTTTCCACGCAAGTCGCACCCCCAGAGCAGGGTAGCGTGCTGTAGCCCTTTAGCCCTCGCTGACCTCGAGTTGTCTTCTTGCATGAAAAAATCAGTACTCACATATGCTGTACTGTAGGCTAGCATTGTCACCTGGCTGGTGGGGAGATGAACTCTGAGTCTGCAGTGTGAGGTCACTGCCCCTGCTCTTCAAAGCCCCGATTCAGAGTTTATAGATGTTTTCTGCTGGCGGGATCTTCAAGTCCCTGCAGGACATAAGGGGTGGAAGGTAAATGCCCTGCCAGTCCGAGCGACGAGGCACCTGCTTGAAGGAGATGAAACATCTCTGTGACCATCTCCGTTTACTACAACTAAAGGGTTTAGGAAAAAACTACTACAACTAAACAGGATTTGGAAAAACGGAACTATATATGTTTATAGTAGTATAATATGGAAGTTTTGTTTTTTAAAAAAAAAAACACTCTGTAGTTGAACAGTCTGAACCTGTAGGTTAATTATACCATGGGAATTTGTGCCTGGGGGTTCTGAACAAGGAAAGAGAGAACACGGAGATTGAAAGTTATGAATTCATGCAACTCCTTATGTCTTCCTGGGCTGTTTCCTGCTTTAGCATTCCTTCTGCTTGTTTGTCTGTGTCTCTCTGAACATCCTGCTTGTGGCCTTCGGGAGCAGCTGATCAGATCCCTGTGGTGTCAGGTTTGTATATTCCCTAGACACAGAGGTCTGTCCGTACTCTCCCCACTGAGGAAGTGCGAGATGCTACAGATACCCTTATTCATGTAACTCTCCTCCTCCTGAGACTCGTCCCCATGAGTCTTACTGGCATGGTGGGTGTTTTGTGCCTCACGACAGCAGAGAATCGCCCTCCCATGGATTAGAAACATGACATCAAAGGTGATTAGGTTAGTTCAGTGTTGTGCTATGTAGGTCCTTAGCTGTTGGCATCCTTAAAATAGCTCCTGCGCTTTTTCAGTGAGTGCTGAGAGGATTTCATTGTGTGCTGTATCCAGGGCAGCAGAGAAGGAACACAAGGCACCTTTAGGTTAATTAACAAGCCAGGGCAGAACTTAAACTTGTTCCTCTGCCTCAGGAAACAGAGTGCGCTTTTGAGAAAATAAAGAGCACGGCATGCCAGTCCGGCCAGTCTCCTGTTCCAGAACAGTCCGCTCTTTTTTCTCAGTGCGTGTCTCCAAATGCGCATGATGAAGACCCACCCCATTCGAGTAAGAGCTGCAGGATTTAGCCGCCTGTGAACCACCTTTCCCCAGCGTAACATTTCTTAATAAAAATCACATCACAGCTCATACTGTCTAATTCCGGTCTGCTGTTCGTCCCATCAGCCCATCTACCCTCTTTGGGTGACAGGGCCTTCTCCTGCTGCATCCCAAAGCTCTGGAAATCTGTCCCTAAGGACATCCGAGAGTCACCTTCCCTGAACACTCGGATCAAGACTCAAAGCCTTCTTCAGAAGGGCTTTTATTGAACTGGCTCTCTGTCTGCCCTTTTGCTTCCCAGTTGTATTCCAAACCCTTAGTGCAGTTGTGTAATTCTGCACATTGAGAAGCCACTTTTAAAGGTGCTATACAGTATAAAGTTTATTGTTATTATTATCACTAGATGAAGACTCATAGTTATTGTGGATTCTGCTGTGTTTTCTGAAGAGGGCGAGGGAACTGAGAGGGGATGGTCTGGCCCATCTCGTTGGTCTGAGTGTGAGTAATGTAGTGACTGACTCTCCTCCTGCGCGCAGCTTGACGTGTCCCTTCCTCGCCCCGTGCGCTCTGCTGCAGGTGATCTACATGGTCTGGAACGCCGTGAACGACCCCCTGTTCGGTTACGTCCAGGACAACTCCGGGGTGCCCTGCTGCTCCCGCCGCCGGCTGGCCGTCCTGTATGGGGCGCCCTTCTACGCCCTGGCCTTCCTGCTGGCCTGGTTCCCGTGGCGCCCCTACGCGGCGGGGGACTGGCTGAGCGGTGTGCACCTGATCGTGGCGCTGTGTGCCTTTGACGGCATGCTGACCTTCGTGCTCCTGGCCCAGTGCGCCCTCTTTGCCGAAATATCTGTCCAGCACGAGAGCAGGCTGAAGCTCATCAAGTACAACCAGGTGGCGTCCCTGCTGGGCTCCTCCAGCGTGCTGTTCTGTGGGCTGATGTCTGGGAACATGGATAACTTCCCAGCGTTCCAGGCCTTCACCGTCGCAGCCGCGGCGCTGGCGTGCGGCTGCATGCTCTACACGGGCCTCCACAGCGAGAGCCGCTACGCGGGGCGGGGGGGCCAAGCGGAGGAGCAGCCTCCGGGGGGCGCCGCCCTGTCCCTGGCCTCGGTCTGCTCCCTGACCTGGCAGATCCTGAACCAGAGGGACTTCCAGCTCTTCGTGACCATGAACTTCTTCCAGGTCTTCATGGTGGCGTTCTGCAACAACTTCGCCATGATCTTTGCGGAGCACCTCATTCCCAGGGAGGTCTTGCCCTCGCTGGCCAAGAGCATCATGTATGGAGTCGGCTTCATCTGCCCACAGGTACCGCAGACCAGCGCTTGGTAACGGGCATTGGGAACTGGGGGATATTTTGACTGGTCAGGGGGGCATGCAGTCATACAAGACAGTTTTCCTGATGAAAAGCACTTTTACTGTGGTGCAAATCCAAAATCAAAACTTCATGCTATACTCTATTACTCTACCCTATACCCTTATTCCTGGCCTATCCCCTAATTCTACATGGTCCATGTGTAGATGTAATATAGCCTCCCTTATTAACCCATATGCCCCAGCCTTCAAAACCGTCTGCCTGAGTTCTCTGTGCCCCGATCCGCAGTGCTTCTCCTTCTAAGCCCCGTGTGTTTTCAGGTGCTGGTCCTGGGCTGTCAGCGCCTGCTGCGCACACTGGGCTACTACAGGCTCGTCTTGTTCACCTTCTACCTGGAGGTGGGAGCCGGAGCTGTCATGCTGCTGCTGGGCTCGCAGCACTACTACGTGTTGGCCCTGTTCCTAACGGGAAACATGTGAGTGACGCGGCTTATGTAGCCTCATACAGAGAGCCCCCCACAGGTAGGACGCCATGTGGATCCCCTATGTAGGACGCCATGTGGAGGGCCCAGTGAGACTCCCACATGCAGGGGTGCAAGGTTAACAACAATGTTGCATTGACCATGCTGCTAGAAGCCAGCAGACTGTTGCAATGTCCTGTGTTCTAGCAATATTGCTTTTTTTTCAGGGTGTTGGTTCAGGCTGCTTTTAGCCTCTTCAACTTGCCTTTGGCCGACATCATTGACGCCGACTTTAACAAACACAAACGCAGGTAAACCTCTTCCCTTTCCCCAGACACATTCTCCGCTCCTCTGTGTCCAGCAGAGTGAAGCTCGGAGCCTGAACCCATCATTGCTGGGTTCAGACAATTGAGGAGTCTGATTACTGAAGCTGAGGTTAGATTGAAGAAACCTCAAGAGCCAAAAACATTTGCATTTTATTCCTTTTAAATCTCAAGCATGGGTTTAACACCTCCAGTGTGCTTTAGAGGTTTAACTCACAAACGTCTTATGTGTTCCGAGAAATTAAATCTCTTTTAGGCCTTTAAATGAAAAGATCCAAACTGTGGAGGCCGGTGCTTTTGGCATGTCATAGAGTATTTTTTATTCGTTTAATGATGTCATTTTTTGTGTTTTAAATTAGAAACATAATTTAAATCGGCCTGCCAAAGTTGGCATGGCAGACCACTCCATACAATATCTGTGCAGGGCAAGGTCATCCAGAAACAAGAGCATAGGCATCAAAGGTGTCAGAGCTTTTGTTACTTCAGAGTCAATAAAAACATTGTAAAAAGCTTTGTAAATGAAGCTTCCCAACAGAGGAGCAAATACTAGAATTTGTCAAATCACTTCAATTGTGGAAATTAGGGTGGTCTGTATACATGAATGGTATATATTCACAATATAGGTTGTAGATTTATAACAGATATAGGAAATAACAGGATGTACAGTTTTACATTATTGGGATGCTTGATAGTGTTGCACATTGTCTCACTAATTCCAAGCACTACTGCCGGGGCCAGTAGGAGCTGGATCTCTCTGTGTGTGACACGTGTTGGTTCTGTCTCTGCCGGGCCCAGCTCTCCGCTGTCCTCCATGGTGTTTGGTACCAACGCTTTCTTCACCAAGCCTGCCCAGTCCCTGGCGCCCATGGTGGTGGTCACCATTCTCAACCAGTTTGGCTACAAGGAGCTGAAGGAGGCGGGCGCGGCTGTGGACCCCAGGTACTGTACAACAGCTGCAGCCTCCCAGAGACCTTTGAGCCCGTGTGATTTGGACCTTCTGGAGCAACGAGCAGTCCCTATCTTTTTATGGCCAGCAGCCTTTGGACAGTGCGTTAATCAGCTGTTTTATAAAGGCTGTAGTTGTTATGTAACTGGGGGAGCGATTGTCCTGAAGAGAAGCCAGTGTCCTGTGTGGAGTGCCAGCCAGAGCTCGGGCTCGGTGACTTTGCGCAATCCTTCCGTTGATGGTGCACACGTGACACTGCCGTTCCTGCAGGCCACTCAAGGACATGTCCTCGCCTCCTGCTTCCCTTAAATAAAGAAGCAGAACTGAAAAAATATAGAAGTTGGTGGCGGTCTGCAGCAGGGAGGTTATATTCGAAAGTAAGAATCCAGTGTCTTGATTCTTCTTTCAGTAAATGCAGCCTCTCGTCTCTTTTGTATATCTTCATTTTCCTTCAGTGTTCTAAGCAGCGCTGGGGGAATGGCGGGTCTCTGGAGCTTGGGTGACTACACTTGGCGTGCTGGGGCTTTGTCTGGGCAGCGTGTGACTGGTGCATTTTCACTGCGCATATGAAATCTTACGCCATGCGAGTGGCCTTTTTTTTCCAGAGGCAGACAGGCAGTGGGATTGTGCAGTGCCTCTCCTTAAGACGCCATCCGAGCTTAATTTGACGGAGTCAGGGTTATACCGAATTAAAACTAAAGCCCGCAGATGCGCACAGAATTTGAAAGCTCCACGAGAGACGTTGCAGAAGACATTTTCTGTCGGAGGGAGCCAGGACAGCCGCCCCCATCTGTCTCGGCAGCAGGGAGCTCTGAGATGTGTGGCAGTGTGACAGCTCCCACTAAAACAGGATTCTGCCTGCTCTCTCTCAGCCAGGCACTGTCTGAATCTGCACATGCCCCAGTCCTTCCCGAATCTTAATGCCTCTTTTCCAATGCATTGCTTTTTTTCATGGCAAGTCGAAAGGGAATTATTCTTTTCCCAAGTGCACATGAACAAGAAACTGGCAGGCAGATTTATAGAAGACTGCGTGTTCATTTAAAATAAGATCCACACCACTGCGCTGAGAGAGCTGAGCAGGCTCGAAACACAGCAGTAGAATTGTCGGTATGACGCGTTCAGCAAAGGTGAAAGTGACAATCTGTCTTGCCTGTTAATTATTGCACCGCAGCACTTTATAAGGGAATAATTCCTTGCCAGCTCACGACTCTTAAGACATGATGGCGTGCTGCCCGAGACATTTAAGAACACAATGCAGTCTGGAGAGCGTCCCGCGTTCGGAATTGCTTACGTGCTCCCTCTCGTGGCCAGAAATGTGTACTGCTATATTTCTCACAGTGGTTCCGCACAAGGGAAATCTTTGGGGTTCATTTCGGGTTTTTATTTCTTTCCTAACTTAATTACTTAACTGAGCCAGTTAATGGCAAATAATAATGTCAAATGTCTATTCTGTTCCCCATGGACTAAATCATTCTCCTAAATCCAGTCAGAAGCAATGCACAAAGACCAGGACTGCTTACTTCACTGTTGTATAAAGGTTTTTGAACATAAGAATGTGAGGTGTAAGACCCACCTGTCCCATTTAGTGAAGTTTGTAAAGCAAAGTAATTTACATTTTCATTGGTGTATTCTATGTCACCCTCAATTATATTTATACAAACAGACAGTTTAGAAGATAGAGATATTGTTTTTGAGAATCCCAGTAAGTTACAGACTGCCAGACAGGATATTATGCGGGCAGCCCCGTTGGAATAGATTAGAAATCCCTCCTGCTACAAACAGACATTAGTAGTGGACCCCTCTGCGGCTGTGCTTAAGTCCCCTTGAGGTGCTTGCCCTGTGCTTTTATTTCTGAAACTTTTGTAGAACCGTAAAGAGTTGTTACGCGTGTCGACGATTCTGAAGTAGATTACTGCAGCCCTGTGGGCGGGGAAACTCCTTGATCCCCGTGCACAACCGTTCTAGATTCGGATCTTCTTTCCTGTGTCACTTTTGTTTCTGTAGATATCTGGAATGTTTGAAGTGCTGATTGTTTCATTAGAAAGTGTGCCGACGGACATGTCTCATGTGTCCCGCGTGGTACTTTTCATGCTGCGAAAAACCTGACCCCGCTGGAATGACCAATAAGGCCCAGTGAGCAGTACGTGTTCAGCTCCAGTTGTTGGGAGTGAACAGGCCGCCTCACTTGAAAACCCTGGATCGTTGGCGTGCTGTTTCACACCCCTCTGTTCTGTCTCATCCCAGTTCTCTGCAGGCTCTCCACGGCGCCATGTTCTACCTGGTCTGCCTGGTGCCGATGTTCGTTGCCGCCTTGCAGATCGCAGCCTGGACTCCATTCTCCATCAGAGAGAGCCACACGCTGGACGCTAAATACCTTGAGACTTAGGGAGCCACAGCCTTTGACGAAGGAAGGAGGAGGCGTGTGCAATCACATGAGGTCAATGGACGACACCCAGCTTCGAACTGGTGTCCCTGTACACGCCGTTTCCTCTTTTCTCACGGGTGTGTAATAGGACAGGCGGGAGCCGTCTCCCCCTGGACTGCCATATTAAAAAAAACTGGTGAAAATGGTTTTGCTAAGGTGGCATATCTAGGATTTCTGATCAGCAGAAGCTCGACGTTGATGGATTGGGCTCCTCCAATGAAAGTAATGCAGTGTGTAGCATACCATAAGAATGTACAAAAAGTTACAGAAGCCTAGAGGCTGTTGGGTCCATCTAGCCCTTTTGATAGTAGCTAACTGATCTGAAGATCTCTTCCAGCTGTTTCTTGGAAGAAGTCAGGGTACTGCCTTCAACAAGATGGCTGGGGTGGCTTGCGCCACACTCCTACAACCCTTTGAGTAAAGAAGTGATGCCTGTTCTAATTGGAGGATCATGTCTACCCACTTCTTGAGAGGTGCCAGGGTACCGGCCTCAACAGCACAGCTGGCTGGCCTGTTCCAGACTCCCACCACCTTTTGGGTAAAGAGGTGGCTCCTGTTCTCTGTTTTAAACTAGTTTGCACAGCTTCCACTTGCCTGCTCTGCTTGGTGACTGCTGGGGAATGCTTTGTCGATGCCCTTGAGGATTCTGAATGCTGGTGTCTGGTCCCATCGTGTCCCCATGAACTCTGTGGGCTGTGTGGCACTAAAGCACAAGAAGCCCGTGGAAGAGTCAAGTGCTTCTCCACACAGCTCTTGACTGCGCGGTCACAAGCCTCTCCTCCAGTAGTTTTGAGGGCTGTGGCTGCACCTGCACTGTGCCTTTTCCGTCCCTGCTGGGGGGGGGGGCGCGCAGTCGTGGCCGGGCCCCAGGTTACGGAGTCGTCTCGAGCGAACGAACAGTGAGACCAGTGTGTCGAGCGAGGCCAGGGGCAGCGGATCAGCGCTCAGCAGTGTGTGAAGAGCAGGGAGCCATGCGATCCCTGAGAAAAACACCAGCCAGGAGAAACAGCCAAGCAGTCCGGTGCCGTGAAAGCAACCTCTGGGAAAGAAAACGACTCAAAACCAAGAATGGAACAGTGAGAGATGCCATTGAAGAACCTGTTTAAAAAGGGGAAAAAAGAGCTGCTTTGAATACAGAACATCGCATTGGCTGACAAATTCACACAGCACTGCATCATTACAGGGTTATTGTATTACAAATAATAGATAAATATTCATTTTATTTGCAGTATAATTGCAGAAAATAGGGGTAAACTTTTAAGAATTTGATTAGATTTTATGATGACCTTCCATTCCTTTGTACCAAGTAAGGACAATAACATGAATTCCAGTGTTCATTCTGTGAGCTGTGAATACATGCAGAAGACATATACCTATATTCATTATGAATTCTGCAGGAAATGTTTAATTTTGTGTCGCTCGCTATATAATTGCCTTGGGATTTTGGGAGCTAACCTGCAGTGGGTGCTGCAGAAAATATTTAATTAAAAAAAAAACACACAGACGTTGGTGACATAAGATGACCACCAAAATGTAAGATCCTGACGAGACAAACTCGGGTGGAGTTTTGGAGGCCCAGCCTGCTCTGCGTGTGTAGTGTGTGCAATGAGGAGTTTCAAGGTGTAGGTTTATCGCAGAGAAAAACAAGGTGTTCTGCAACACCACAGGGGGGCTCATTGTAGTCATTGCAGAGCGATCATTGCATTGTAGTGTATTCTCCTGCCCACACTGTGCTTCATATTTTTAAAGCCGTAATCTTAATTCGGGGTTGAGATTTTCAGTGTAATACGGCTTGAAATAAAACAAGATAAACGTGACCGGTATATACCTGTACTAACCCGAAGCCGGATGTTCCTCTTACTACCTCTGTCGGTGAAAGTCTATGTTAAATACAGTTTGTTGTTGGGGCTGCTGTACAAAGGTCATTCTGCAATCAAACCAATACTCCTGCAGAAATGATAGAAGTATAACTCATGAAATGGACAATAAAAAGCATTTATTTACTGTTTTTTAGCCGTAAGTGTTTCATGGTTTTGTATTTTAATTGTATTCATGAATGTTTGAAAGATTTAAAAATAAAATTCTATAAAAAAAACTCGATCTGAAATGACGCTTTCGGTTCTAGGATTCGTGGAAACGTGATTTAATTACATGTGATTTAATGGGAACTGAATTATTTAGGTCTTTATTAATATTGTAAAGATGTAGGAACGCAATCTATTCAAGTCGAAGTTTTTGTCAAGTGAAATTAAATCTCCAGTTATTACATGAACATACCTAAGTGGTAGTAATTAAAATGCCATCTGAGACTAAACTTGTTTATTCTTTAAATGCTGTTCTGCAAAAACAAAATCGCTGAAAATGCGTGCAAAACGTTTAATGCTCATGCAGTGAGTGCATAAGACTTGAAACTTTAAAGGGTGGGGACGCAATTAAGTGTGACACAGGAAGTAAACGTGGAACAGATTCACCGGCTTACTTGTTGAAAGAAGGTTTATTCGAGCAAGTTAGTTTACGGTTGAAGTGGAGGGTCCAGTAACAACATGTCACCTTTCAAAGCCAACAGCATGTACAGGTCGGTACGCTTTGCTTGCTCGGAAGGTCTGGCAGGAGTCGAGGACTCTAGTTTTTGAGTCTCGGTCTGCTTTCTGTCTGCAGATGAGGCGGCTGCTGTTTGCGGTCTGGGTGCTCTTTTACTTCGTCTCGCTGCTGGTTATACGGGAAATGTGGACCGGGAGATACCTGAGGAGTCCACTGGCCAGGGCGCTGCTGGTCAACATGGCCAGCGAAACGGGACCGCACGGCTCTCAGGAGGTACCGGGGTGACAGTGGGCTACATGTGGGGCTGGGGACGGGGGCAGAGAGTTGTTTGCTAATTTAAGCAAATTATGCTTAAGCTTTGCGTGAAGTTGTGCATGTTGTTGTACTTTTGTTTTTCCTTAGTTTATCCACACCCTGGGCGTTTCCTTGTAAAGTTAAGTTTTACTCCTCATTTTTTTTTAGCTTTATTTTAACAGTAGGTGCCAGTAGGGTGGCGTTGGGCTTCAACCAGTGTTGTTGGCAGATTTTTAAATCGCCCCCTTGAGCAGGTTTGAGAGGGATTGGGAATGTAGGAGTTGCAGTGATTCATTATATATTCATTATTATGCATTAATTGGAAGAAAGTGTTCGAATGAGCAGACTGAGGGAGGCTCAACCACCAAGTGTGGTTGAATGTTTACACCTCTCCTCCAAACGCAAAAGACAAGCCTTGCGTTACGGGCAGTAATGAGACTGAAGCCTGGCTGTGAGGCCTGTGCCTGTGTCACCCCTGGGGACTTCTTAAAAACTGTGATTTTTCAGGCTCTGCAGGAGGCTTCATCAGGCCACAGGACCTGTTCACAAGGGTCATGCCAGGTGCCAAATAAGGCACACCGGCGGTAATTTCAAATCCTGCAAGTGTTAAAACTCGCAGGGTTTCGTGCTTGACGTGTTTCCACGGCGCCAGCTGCACTGGTGCTGGGAAGCGAGGCAGACGCAGTGACCCGAGCTGTTGCTCTCCGAGGCCCGCAGGCCGGGTTCTGGGGTGTCGTGCCCGGCACGAGAGCGGGCCCTGTGAGAGCCAGCGCCGTGTTGGTGATGTCCGGGCCCGGCTGTCTCCGCAGTGGTACCGGTGCTGCCCGGAGCTGCTGGGCGAGCCCCTCCGGCCCGCCTTCGTTCAGAGCCGCCTGGATGAGGACACACGCGCCTTCCTGAGCCGCAGCGAGGAGAAGTCCAGCTGGCTCCTGATGCAGCTCTACCACTCCTTCATGTCCACCCTCTTCAGCCCCTTCCTCTCCCGCACCTCCATCAACGGGTACGTCTGCCCTCCTGCCAGCCGGGCTTCTGTCTCCCCCGCCCCCCATCTCCCTGTCGCCCTCCTGGCCAGGCGCGGTGTCTGTGCTGGGCTGAGGGCTCCAATGTTGTGAAGCTGCCGTGTGTAGGATCATGTCTGCACGCCCCCTCTCCCCCCGGCCATGCCCACCCTGCCCGGCTCGCTGTCTCCTCGCCGTTAAGGACGCGAGAAAGGCCTCTAGACGAGAGGAGCCCCTCTAGCCCTCCCAGAGGACCCGCGATCTCGCCAGCTTGAGCCGTGTGGCTCGTTACACCACCCCTCCCCCCCCTCCACCTCCCCTGGGGTGAAGAAGTGCCTCCCGCTCCGTTTCAGTTCAATCCAACCAGCTTTATTGGCACGACCGATGAATGACAGTGTCGCCAGACCGGACACGATCGGCACAGACCTTTTTACGACACGAACGCATCGCAGGGCATTTTCATACAACACAATCAGCACACAGCTTTGTTGAGGCATCAGGTCCCCTTGCAGTCTTCTCTGGTCAAGACGACAGAGGTTCAGCTCGTCTCTCTCGCTCTCTCTCGCTCTCTCTCGCTCTCTCTCGCTCTCTCTCGCTCTCTCTCGCTCTCTCTCGCTCTCTCTCGCTGGCCAGGTTCCTGGGCCGCGGCTCCATGTTTGTGTTCTCCGCCGAGCAGTTCCGCAGCCTCCTCCGGATCCCCCCGGAGTGGAGGGCCCGCAGGCTGCTGGACCTGGGGGCGGGGGACGGTGGGGTCACCGAGGTCATGAGCCCCCACTTCCAGGAGGTCTACGCCACCGAGGTGTCGGCCCCCATGGCCTGGCAGCTGCAGCGGAGGAACTACACGTAAGAGCAGGTGGCCGTCCGCGCGGCAGCTCGGGCTGTGGTCGGCCGTGAGGCGAGCAGTGGGAGGAGCTGGTTCAGGAACAGAGCGGTGCAGTCACCATGGCGGGTCCCCGAGCCTCGACCCGAGCTGTACAGAGCCAGCTGGAGAGGTCCGGTGACTGAAACGGCAGCTCAGGAATAATGCAGAAAGAGATGGAAGGAAGAGGCGTGTGTACACTTCAAGCTGGACTGTTGGGTGACAAGTCTGTAGAGGCAGGATGTCGCTCTAACATCTCTAGGATGTTCTCTGAAAGCCTAACAACTTACTTCGCTGTACCTCCGGAGAGAGTGTGTTCTGTTTAGGAGGCTAGTTTATATGGGGAGTCCGGGTGGGGTTTTGCGTCCGCGGGCGTTGGCTACAAAGGAACAAGCAGGGATGCCCGCCACTCTGAAAAATTAAAAAGGAGGAACGCGAGGTATCTGCTGCTGGGCCTTGTGGGGGTGTTGCAGTCTCTCCCGCACCCTGTGCAGAGCTCTGCTCGGCCCTACGTGGACTAGACAGAGGGCCCAGCTGATCTCTCCTGCCCCCTCCCGCAGGCTGCTGGGCATCGACGAGTGGCAGACCACGGGCTTCAGGTACGACGTGATCAGCTGCTTGAACCTGCTGGACCGCTGTGACCAGCCCCTCACCCTTCTGCGGGACGTCCGCCACGCGCTGGAGCCCGCCACGGGCAGGCTGGTGCTGGCCGCCGCGCTGCCCTTTCACCCCTCCATAGAAGTGGGTGAGTGAACGAGTGAACGAGAGCCGGGCCTCGCCGTCTCGCTCCGTTTCCCATCATGCCTCGCCGGCGCCACCTCTTGTCTCCTTCGGTCCGTCCATTTCGGTGCTCTGCGCGTCTCCCCGCCGTCTTCCAGCGCGCCCGCGCCCCTCTCTTCCCGCGGGGACAGCTTGGAACCGCCAGCGTGTGCTCAGCCACTTCCTCTCCTTTTAGGGCCTGTCCGCTTCCTGGGTAGAGTGGCCTTCGCTCCTCTGTTACTTGTGTTGTGTAACAGCAGCAGATTTACAACATAACAGCACCACTCTGAGTGTTTCATTCACTGGCGTTTGGGCTCTTGATACTTGAGGGTATGCAGACCGAAATTTAAAAATCGCCGATCTATCCAGTCTGAGGTCAGTGCTGCCGGACTCCAGCCTGTGTGTCGGGGGGGTCAGGGTCTGTCCCTGCATGATGTGAGCCGGCGGTCATGTTGCGTATCACATGTTCTGATAAATGTCGTCCATAATGGGGGGAGTCTGAGAGTCCTCAGGCTAAAACCATTAGATAGAAAAGAGCAGACTGAGTCACAAAGCACTTTTATTTTACTAAACATATATTAGCAGAATGTATTCCTCTGTTTGATGGGTTTTTTAATATTGCCGGACTGGATGCGTGGTGGTTTGGATAAAAGATATGTCTCTCCTCTGGCAGACCTGCAATAGCTCAGACTCTTTAGTAGTTAGAGGTGATACCACACGTTGTGTTTCCAGAAATCGTCTTTAAAAACAGAGTAATAATAATCTATGTCTAAAATAAGAGTTTCAAAATAATAATAGTAAGGGAGCAGACCTGAGGTTATCACAGAGAAAATTCTAAAACAACCTTCCTTCACACAATTCAGGCTGTGCGGTTTAGAACTTGTCTCAGGTTTGGTACAGGCCTGGCACCAGAGACAAGAACTGAATCTATTTAGTCTTGGACAGAGAAGACTAGGAGACCATCTGATCTGGGCATTGAAATGCTCAAAGGCATTGACACAGCCAATCCAGTGGACATCTACAAAATCCAACAGTAAATCGCAAATCTCTTTACACCACTTGTGGGAGTGTGGGACTTCTTTCAGGAATCATCTGGATGAGATTCTCTGATCAATTAGCTGCTGTCGTCTCAACTAACTCATCTGGCTGGGCGCCCTCCTCTCATTTCGAACCTTTCTTACACTCCTGTGTTTTAGGAGTGTCCTTGGCACAGAACGCCTCTCGCAAAGAGAGGAATGTCTTGCCCGTCTTCCGTTGTGAACTCACCTGTGCCAGAGGGGGCTTTTCTTCGCTTGCACCCTTGGTGTCCCTGTGCATCTCTCCCCCCCTGTACATCTCCTGCACCACAGCACGAAAGTTGTTCCTCCAGGTGGAGTTATTCTGTGGAAATCGGAAAAAACGGACAACGTTTCCGCACGGAAGAGCTTTATCACGGAGCTTCTCCTTTCAAGACGGCGTTCAATAAAGAACTGCATCCTGTAGCCGCAGGTCTGCTAACGGAGCTAAGTGAATGCAGGTGTTCTGCCCAAAGATGTAACCCTACCGGAAAGTCATGTGGGGGTTGAAAAGGAGCCATTTGCAGCTCCGTGCGTAATCGAAATGTACCTCAGGGGGTGGTGCAGTCAGGCCAGTGTCTGTTGAGAGAGGCTGTGCCAGATTGTGACTTATCTATTCTGACAAACCCGTCTCCGAGGGGCTCTTGCTATTGCGTCAGCTGGTGGTTCCCCGGAGGTGTTGAGAGAAAGGGGGTGAGCGCTGGCCGTGCACCGGGCTCCCAGCTTACCTTCCTAGAGGAGTCGTCCTTCGCCCGCCAGCAGAGAATTTTGCTTCGCCCGCCCTGGGAGGAGGGGGGAGACGAAGGAGGTTAGTCCATCGGTGATAATGCAGCGTCTGGGGTCAGTGCATCGGTAGAAGCGTCAGTATAATTTCAGATTTTATTGCATGTTACCCGGTGATGCAAAAATCAGAAATTCGCAAGGAAAAAACAGCACGCCTGGATGAGATCTCCTCGGGAACACCGGAGAGAAAACAGGGATAAAATTGCCTCTTTTTTTTTTGCGGCTTTTCCCCAAAGACATCCTTCCCGAGCAGGATCTCGGAGGGGGGAACTGACCTTCTTGTGGATCAGCAGGATGATGATCGCAAGGTTGTAGAGGAACAGGAGCACGATGACCGTGGACAGCAGCGCCTTCCCCTGCGGATTGGCGACGTGGAGTCTACCTGTCGACGCGGGAGAGAGACACAAGGGTGTGATCGCAGCCGTGTCCCCTACAGGGGCGGCAGGGACTCCACGTGACAGTGAAAAGCTGACCGTCGGTCTGAAGCTCAGGATCTCTTTAACCCTGTGCAAGCCTTGTGGAGGAGGAGGAGGCTGGACTGACCTCTCACGAGCAGGACGGTCCCTTTCCCAGTACTCCTGGCTCCAGGTGCTGTTGATCCCGAGAAGGCGATGCCGCAGTAGTACACCCCGCTGTCGTTCGCGTGGACGGGGCTGATGTCCAGGGAGTCCCCTTGCGGGGCGTACTTGCCATGGGTATGGAGCTGCAGCTGCTCGTGGGAGCTCGCCCGGAACACGAACCAGTAGACGGACCGGTGCCCAGGGCAGCCGGGGGCGGTGACGGCGCAGGGGATGGTGACGGAGGAGGTGTCCTCCACCACAGACATCTCCCCCGGCTGGGAGACCTGCACGGAGCACCCGTCGGCGGGGCAGGCTTCTGAAAGACAGTCGAGATGCACGCCCGGCGTCTTTAGTTTTGGTGGATTTAAAAACAGTACTTGTACAGCGGAGATGGGAGGGCAAAATAGTGTGGCGGGTTTTAGTCTGGTCTCATAGCTGGCAGGTTGTGGGTTTGTGGGTTGGGGTCCCTGCTGTTGCACCTGGGTGGCAACAAATGTTAGATTTGCATAAGTGGTGTTCATGAGGCTTAAATCCATTCATCAGAGATGTCTTCTATTGACCTCTGATTCATCAGGAAATTAATGCATTTGTTTAAATATTATAATGCTGAATAACTTGATTGATTAGCCATAGCATCTTTTATATATGACATTAAGTCAGTTTGTGGAAAACGTTGTTTAAAAAGTCAGGGGATCAACACTTGCGTCAGTGACTACAGGTGTAAACGTGATATATCCCCAACAGAGGAAACTGGCTGACAAAGAGGCATCTGTCTGGAAACTGGACCAAACCTCTTGTAATTTCCAGAAGGTGCAGAGCACAAGGGCTAAATTGCTTGTGACTGGATCACACCCTTCCCCACACTCGCCCTCCCTGAGCCAGGAGACCACATTTTGAGGAGCACAGAGCTGAGCCTCTTCTGTCCCTGTTTTCAGTTTTCAGTTTCATGCATTGAAATCAGTGGAGGCAAGGAAACGTTGTGGAACCACTGAAATATACTGGCACGCCATTAAATGGCAAGGAAAGCACACGTACCTCTAGAGGTCTTCTTTTTTTTATTCTGCCACTTCAGATTAGCAAAACATAGCGTGAGCACAAGGGAGAAACAGCCGAGTCTCGTCCCCCCCGGTCCTGCTCCAGGATGACCTGTGACTTACCTTGTACAATGGACAGAGCCAGGAGGAGTCCCGCGATGCACAGTCTGTCCAGCGAGTTGCTGGAAACTCTCGCCATTATCAGTTATTGTACAATGTCCGCAGCTCTTAATAAGAAGGAAACTCCTCAGGTTCGGTCCTTACAGAACATCTCGGTCATCGTGGATCAGCTGCTTCAAGTTCCATCTGGCCTTCTCTGTGCTCCTGTCCAGCTTTATAGCGAGTAGACTGGGGTGAGGCTTTGTCACCTCACTGACTGTGCTGAAACTCAAGTTGGCTGTCAGGAGCTCGGTGCAGAAGGACTGAAAAGGGAAGTGAAATCAGAAGAGAGCTGCATTTTATTTTTTTTTTGCATTGTGGTGAGAGCAGTTTCCCATTGCAAACGGATTGGGTCAGTAGAAGCCTCTGTTACATGTCACGTGAGCATATTAGAGTATTGCGCTCACCGTATTGTTTTCCAATATTGCGTAGCAAGAGCGAGCCAGAAGGAAATTTGGTACTTTTTGGAAAAATTGTGTAGTCAATCGCCAAACTCAACCAAACGGCCGGGCCCATGTTAACAACTTCGGCATGAATCTCGCAATTTCCCTACGGGATTAATAAAGTATGATCTATCTATCTAACAAACCGATCCTTATGGAAGAAAATCTGGCCCAGAGGATCCTGCGGCGTTGTCTTGTGTAAGAGACCAACTTGTCAGGGTCTTCGTAAATCCTAAATGACTCCGCAAACCAAACATGGTTTCACATGCGATAGAAAGTGTAGATTTTTGGTCACACCAGGGAGGTTAATTGTGCTATAAAAATGACCGTGTGGTTGTGAAACCATTATTAGCTCATAAAAAAAGAGAAGTATCTTGCGTAACGGCACTACAGACGGCAGCAGTTTTTCCCACTTGACTGAAGGAGAGCCAGAGGTGATGTCATGACCCCCGCTGCTTTGTGTCCACAGGTGGAAAGTGGGAGCGGCCTTCAGAATACTTGAAGATTAAGGGAGAAACGTGGGAGGAGCAAGTTACCTGTCTGGCCAATGAGGTATTCCAAGAGGCGGGGTTTGCTGTGGAGGCGGTGACAAGGCTGCCCTATCTCTGCGAGGGGGATATGTACAATGACTACTATGTGCTGGACGATGCTGTGTTTGTACTGAGGCCACTGGACTGACCCCTCAGCCTCTCGCACGTTACAGCAGACTCGGCCCTTTCCGTACGGTACAGGCGTTGATATCTAAGAGTCCGTTTTGGTAACCACAGAGTGGATTATTCCAGTCTGAGGACTAAGGACATCATCAGACCTGAAATCTGAGACTACAGGTGGGATTTTTGGTTTTAGGAAAAGTAGTTATTTTTTTTTTGTATATGGGATGGGTTTGTTTTTAAAGATCTGGACTAAGGTACACGGCCTGGACCACCCTGCCAGCAGCACAGTCGGTGCTGGTTGAGCAGAAGGAAAGCCAGAGTCATGCCGACTGTCTCCTGTATCCTTGTTACAGGAGTCAGTGCAACATAAACGGTAGTGTGACATCATCACCGGGGGACGGGGTTCACCGCTAACACTGTGCAGCAAATCGACCCCTCGCCTTCGGTACGAATAGCTGTTCATTTCAGCCAGGCGCTGTGAACTTAAGGCTTCTACATCACAAAAACAACATTCCTTTAAAAAACAGCGATCTGGAGGAACTGTAACTTTCTTTTTTTTTTCCTCTGTAGTATGTGATATATAATCATCATTGCCCAGTTTATGTCCTTAGGGTAGGCAGGTTACATAAGACCATAAACTGTTTTATTTCAACAGTAATTTTCCCCATTGTTCATTGCAGTAATACTCTACCAAACTGAGGAAACCTCCGTGGAGGTTAGCCCTCTGTTAAGACTCTTATCAGCCATACTTCTCGGTAAGGGGATAGGAGACCGAGGAAGACCAGGTTGCGGTTGTAAGTGGTGTTGGCAGACCAGTAGGTGGCGCTCTTACTTAAGAACCATTACCAGCTTCCTGCATGTAACAGGGGGTGCTCAATGTGAGGTGTAGTGACAGGAGGCAGAAATCACCAGCTAAGCGCTGCATGTAACGAGAGATGTGGAGTCACTGAAGTGTTCTTGGACTAACATTTCTTCATCATTTTATGTACTGATCCCTGCTTCCCCAGTCCTGACATGCATGGCATGTTGGTTTGATGTGTGTATACATTCCACGCTGTTCGCCGGCTCCAGACCTCCGCGACGACGGGTTTTCAAAGTGCCATCCATCTTTTTAAAGATCGGCTCGGATGCGGTCACGCATAGCGGTAAATCGCGGAGAAGGAACGGGGTGGTCGCGAGGTCTGTGATCGAGCCCCGAGGGAGGGTGGCCAGTCCTTCCGCCCGGTTGCGTGGGACCTCGGAGACAGTCACCCCTGCGCGGGCACACGGCAGTGGACTCGGGTTCCGGACCGGCGGCCGTTTCCGTGGTCCCTGCGTACACGAACAGCGAGTGTCCTCCTGCTGGCCGTTCAGGACTGCTGGTCAGGGGACATCGGCGACGGGCCTGCGCGCAGGGGGGCGTTTCACGCAGATCGGTGTGGTACCTGGCTAGTCTTCCTCTCGCCTCGGGGAACTGCAGCGCTCGTGACGACGGTGCTGGGCGATCTGATGACCCCAATATGTTTCCAGTGGAACATTACTCTGCCGAAGCCTGACCTTTGACATGTCTTCTGTGGAGTGTGGGGGGCACAAAGTTTGTAATCGTTTGCTTTCATGTTAGTACAAGATCCATCACTTATTTCTGGGCTACTGTTCGCTGTGATTTTTTAAATCTCAGGGCGTTTTCTGTGCATCGTCCAGTTTTTAATCACCACAAGAGAAGTATGGCCTGTATGAACTCTGGTGTCAATAAACACTTGTCCTCTACAGCTAGGTATTGTCTCCATCTGTTGCTTCAGCTGCTGCGCTGCAATTCCTCGTCCGTCTGTTTGTGATTCTGGTCTTGATCCGGTCTTAACGGTGCCGCCAAACTCACTTGATCGACCTAAAGTTTTGTTTTCATCAGCCGTGGATAAAATATCCACCTCTTCTCTCATTGCACGGGGGAAAAAAAATAAAAATAAAAATAAAAACCTTATCCATTTTTGTGAAGGCGGGGGGGTGGGCTGGACTTTTTAAAGTTCAATGCATGTCCTGGGCGGGAGAGAAAGCGGCTAGCGCGGTTTTCCCCTGCAGGGGCTGTGCGCGCAGGCCAGTAACAGGGCCCTCAGAGTAACAGTAGCCGAGGGCTGAACGTGGAGAAGCCGGCAGCGCGCTCTCGGAGGTGCCAGCGCGAGCCCGGCACGGCGGGTGCCCCTCGAGGTGCCCTCACTGTACCTGATAGCCTGATGACGTCACTGACCTCATTAGGTGCAGAATCTTAGGTTCCTTGTTCGTGGGATGGGATGGGATGGGATGGGGGGGGTTTGTTGGTGGAAGGGAGAGTTCTAGCACGGTCCAGATTCTCCAGGAGTCTCGGCAACGTGAAGGAAAACACAGCAGCAGCAGCAGCAACAACAACAGCATCGCAGTCCAGAGAAAAAGGTAAGTCGCGGAGACGGAGATACTCTTCCCAGGTTCCATTAGCGTGAAGCAAAGTGTTTTCATTTGAGGCTGTAAACGACACCCTGCGCTACCTTTGGGTAAAGTGGGGCCGATCGGGTTTCTGCGGGCGCGCCGGGCGAGCTCTGCCTCCGGGGAAGGTCCCGCATGAATGCAGATGCGTCCCTTTCAATTCGGATGAATGGCTTTGTGGAGAGCCTTAGGGGGGGTGACCGCTGTTCCCATGCCCGTGTTTCGCTCAGTTCTTCTGGACTCCGCCCGTTGACTTCTCGAGAGCACGGACGCCTTTCGGATCCGTTTCTCCGGCGCCAAGGAAGAGGCTCGCGAGGCGGCGCCCGGAATGCTGCGGTGCGCGCGGGTCCCATAATCGCCACCGACCGCCCGGGTTCACACGTGCTGGGGCCACGTTTCACAGGTGGGGGTTTTGCATGATTGACCCGTAAGAAACTTTTTTGTTTTTTTCCTTGACTAACCTGTATTTGTCTTCCACTTTTATTTGTATGCTATACTTTGTTACTTTATTTTGTGCAATCAGTCCGCAGTTGAGTCTCCCTTTTGGCAAGAATGTCTTATGAGGGCATGTTTAACACACCCTAGCGAGATACTGCTTCATTGAATTAAATTTCATTTCATTTGGGGAAAAAATGTCGCCAGTTCCGCAGGGAGGCCCTTATTCAAATGTTATATAATGTACAGTAACTCACAGATATCGCCATCGCAGATGTCCAAACTAATCTCTTCTTCTACTAAGACGCAAAATGAGAGCTCTGTCAGCCTCACGTACATTTTTATCAATAAGCCGGAATCGCTAGTTGATCAGTCCGGTCTTCAATATGAAGTCGATGCTCGAAGAATATCCGTGCGCTGCGCAGGAAGCTGAGCCCTGCCGCTGTCCCGCAGGCTCGGAGCGCACGGCGACAGGTCGGGATGGACTGGAGCCCGTCGCTGTGTCTGCTGTGTCTCCTGCTGCCGCTGTCCGGCCCGCAACAGCCGCAGCCAGGTGAGCCACAGACCCCCCCGGACACGCAGGGAAGCGGAGCGGGACAGGGCCGTCCCTGAAAATAACCCATCGCAGGTTCTGTCCACCTCTTCCGATCGGATCAGCTGGTGGTGGTTGGGAGGGGGGGATTGTTAATTAAGCAAGTTATTTCAATTAGGTATTAAGAAACTGTCTTTGTCTCCTTGGGTCCTGGAGTGGGGCACCCCTGAATTCAAGATATTTTATAGGCTACAGTACATCCAGTTAATGCCAGGTGCACTAGGAGCTTAAGTCTGGTGTGTTGTTTAATACAGATAACACAGGAGGAACCAATCCCGGTTCTAGGGACCCTGGACCTCCTGGCTCTCAGTCCAGCTCAGCTCCTCACTTCAGTGAATCTTAGCCGAACGGACAAGTTGCGTGTCTGGCCCCTTGGCGAGATGTCTTTAGTACCCAGAGGTTGTTGATTGTAAGCTTCTCGCGAGACGCCACATGCTTAGGAACTGGACACAAAGGAATTGTCAGTCGCACCCGTTACTGAGTCTGCTGTGGGTCTGCTTATTTCATGGAGTGTCCAAGAGGGACAGAAACCAGCAGGTGCTGGGAACCCCGGGGCGAAACCAGTAAGAAACGGTATGGTACAGAAAGGTCTGAACAGGGGTTGCTGAGTGTTTATGACTGTAGTGAATGTTTAGGTCTCTGTGCTTCTATTCCCACAGAACTGCCAACTCTGGTGAAAAAAGCTCTGGTGAGTTTTCCGTCTTTTATTGGATTTCACACACATAAAAGTTTTATACGCGCCTCATCGTCGTGTCATTTTATGAATTTATGAACAGTTCCAAACTAGAGAGTAAGAGGAGGCCTTCCAGTCCATCTGGTAGTAAGTATTGATCCCAGGGTCTCACCCAGCTGTTTCGTAAGAGAAACCAAAGTTTTGTCTTGACTGGGCTGCTTGTTCAAACACTCATGATCTATCTGTGTGAAAAGACGTGCCTCCTGTTCTCGGTTTTAGATACCCTTAAATGTTTTTGTTATAGCTACAGTGGATATAAAAAGTCTACACACCCTTATTGAAATTGCAGGTTTTTGTGATGTAAAGCCAGAAATCCAGATAAATATATCAGACATTTTTCCATCTTTAATGTGACCTTGCAACCAACACAGTTCAAGAGAAAAACAGATAGAGAATCATTAGGAAAAATAATTAAAATGAAAAAACCTGCAACACCTGTATAGCGTCTGTATATAGGGAAGATTTATTTAAAATCAAAGGCTGCTTCAAAAAATGATGGAACAAAGTTGGAAATTACTGATTTTTTGTTTTTAAAGTCTGAATAGAAAAAGTAATTTCTGGAATCCAGATGGAACAGGTGAAGTACTTGTCTGCTGTGGTTATAGAATCACAGTTTTTAAGGTTTACAGTATATGAGACAAATGTCATTTACTGGAACTGCAGATTGAAATTTTCCTTTTTTCACCGTTTAGGATGAATTCTTGGCCGGAAAATACCTTCAAGGTAACGTCACCGAACGCCTAAGCATTCCCAAATCTAACGAGGCTGGTCTGCGTCTGGCTGCAATCAACATCCTCGTCTTTCTTCTTTTCAGCTCTTGTTGATGCCTTCCTGTTCGCAAGGTACCGGTGTCTGCAGTGTGCTGACGTGACCTGCATCACAGGGACACGACAAGCCCCGGGCTTAATGCAGTGTTAAAGCCGTGTCTCTTAATGGCCAAGAGCTCTGGTGTGGAACCGGGGCCTGCGTGTTTTGGCGCTGTCGAGTTCGGCGGGGTCTGTTGAGCACAGAGGAGGGGACGTGGGCTCTCTGCTCGTGTGCTGCCTTCACAGCGCCTACAAGCATCACTGCAGAGCCGAGGGGCTGCCTGGGCCCGCGGGGGGTTTCTAGAATGGCGTTCAGAGGGTGGGTGAGTTGCTGGCGAGTGGCGCTGCGGTGCCTCAGTGCTGTTACTTTGCCCTGTGTTGTGCCCACAGCAAACAGCAGCCCTGGAGCCCTCTAGACGCCCTGCAGTATCTGCTCCTCAGGAACTCCTCCCTCAACATGGAGAGGATAACGGTGAGTGGTCCTCCTCTCTCCACCCCTCTCCTCTCCGCACTCGCCCTCCAACACAGATCAACCAGACTGGCCGGTTCATGCCCCTCCAGGGATGCCACTCAGAGCCTGCAATGACCCAGGCTAGTGGTCACTAACAATTCATCACTAATTATTCCCTGAGGTTGGCAGCAATACCCTCTTCCCAGGTCTTAAGATGATTTTAAGAGACTCGCCCAGGACTACAAGGACACTTGTGGGATTTCAGTCCTCTAGGACTGAGCTCCGCAGGTGTGCAGTCAGCACAACTAAGTGCACATGGATTTGCAGCAGGCCAGATGTGAGGCACTAATAACACACAAGGGCAGTTCCAGTTTTGTGACATTCCTGCTCTCCCACCACCTCCCAGACCATCCTGAGGGACTACCAGAATGTTCTGATCCAGGAGCCCCAGCGGCTGGTCTCCGACCTCGGCACCCTGGACACCCAGCAGTTCACCACCGCCCTGCGGCTGCTCTTCTTGGGCAGGAAGGAGCAGGTCAGTCCGGCGGCTGCTCTCCCAGTGACCGAGTGTCCATCCACAGAAGGAAACACAAGCAGCTGCCCAGGTTGCTGTTGGCCTCAAGCAAGCTAAGATATCAAAGCAAGGTCAGGGCTTGTGCAAACAAACTGGATGGTTTGCAAGTAGAAAAAATCAAACTGATCTACATGAGGCAGTTCAGCTGCTTGAGCTCGTTCAGGGACAAACCAGAGAGAGCAGATGTGTCTTCAGTATGGACTGAGACAGGAGCAAGGTACATGGAGGGCAAGGAGGCGTCTCTGAGCGTATGTGTCAGTAAACTCCAGAGTAAGGAGGATGAATTGTTGCCGAAGGAGTATCCTCAGGTGCAGCTTGATGTACGTGAGGATTTAGACCTGTTCAGGTTGGGCGAGTGCAGAGACACAGAAACCAAACTGAAGGGAATTGCATTCTGCATTTTTCAATGGGAGTTTCCCCACGGTGCTCAAAAGAGAGAATAGTGAAATGCAGGGAGACCGTGTCTCCTCCAGGCAGTGCAGGCACAGGGCTCAGCTAGAGTCAGGTGCCACCACAGTGCTCCCCTGTGCTGGTAAAGCAGAGCTGCACAGCTTACCCTAGGCCCCTCTGCCCCGCGCTGCTGCAGACCTCGCTGATCGATGTTGACTTTGACGTGATGAAGTCGGCGCTGGAGCGCAGCCCCGGGGGGAACCGCTCGCTGTTCGCGGTGGCCCGGGAGCGCTGCGTGCCGGCTCTGCGGAGAGGGACCTGTGTGGACCTGCTGGGCGCCATACTGAGCCTGTCCGCTGGGGAGTTTGTACAGGACGACTTCATCGCCCAGCTGCCCGCTGACCTGCCTGAGGACATCTTCAGGAACCTGTGAGTGTCGGCCATGGCGCCTCTCTGGAGGAGCCAGAACTGTGTCCTCTGGGGCGGAGACGGAGGATGTCTTGTGTCCCACTTCAGTCCCACTCTTAGCTCTTTGGAGAATGGGTCCGCAGGTGGACTGTGGTTTGCTTCGTTAGTTAGAACACTTACATTTCCAAAGCCTGGATTCCAGGGTTTGATCCCATCTTAACAGTATTCCTTTTATCCTGGAAAGACAAGATTCCACAGTCTTATGTAGAAACAGGTCTTCTCTAATTCCCCTCTAACCTACCTTTCCTGCTCTGTCTCTCTGCCACACAGGACCGCTGTGTTTAAGGACCTGTATGACATGTTTTCAGCTGCCACTCAGAGATCCATCTACAAGTGGATCATACAGGGGCTCCAGAAGACCTCCAAATCAAACCGTAAACCGGCATTCTAGCTCGCTTTCACTGCTTTTGAGCTGACTCGGGTGCTTTGTGCATTTAGCCACATGAAAAAAAACACAGGTGTTTTTATTCCTTAAAGTTTAGCAGCAACTTAGAAATGCATGTGGTGTGGATGTTGACAAAAATGGTCAGTTTTGGAGTTATTTTTCATGCATGCTTTTTGCATTTTCTCAAAAATGCTCAAGAAAAACCAAGCTCCAGGTAGTTTCTGGAGGTGGGGAGTGTAAAACGATCGTTGATTAATTTTGCCTTAATGAGGAAATTTGGCAACAAAGGTTTTTAGAAAAGATCAAAGACGGGTGGCCTGACTCTGCTTGAATTGCTAATACTACAGAGCCACACCAGAACGTATGTCTCACCACTGAGTACAACAAGATCCAGGGTCACACGAAAGGTGTCTGTAGCAGAGCTGGGGTGTGAACTGAGAGCATGATTGCAGGTTTACTGAGTAGAGCTCGCTTGTGCGGGAAGCTCCCATGAGGAAGTCAGCCTGAATGCTCGTGTCACTGTACATATGGCATCTGACATTGGCCTTCTCACCTGTGATCAGAGGGGTCGCAGTTCTGGGTCACTGCGGAGAACCTGTGGTTCCTGGGCAGGTACATCGTTCACCTGGCTGTGCACAACATCAACGGGATCAGCCTGAGTGAGGTGAGTGCACTTCTGTCTGCAGGTGCTGAAGTCCGCCTGGACCCTCTCATCCTGTGTGCCTTCCCTTCTGAGAGTGTCTTGCAGTTATGTCACTTAAGCTGCAAAGTGAAGTAAATGGATACAAGATTTGGTCACAGAAAGTCTCATTTCTGAATCCTTCTTACAGTTGATATTAGAGAGTGCGTATATCTTGCTTGATTTGTGATACTGATGGGGTTTTTTGTTGCTATAAATAAATTCAACGCAATGTACTTGTAAGCCATTGATGAAACAGCAGGTCTTTGGTGACAGCATTTTCAGTAGAACTAGACTACCTGTCTGTCTTGTGTCCGTTACCTGAAGTATCGCCAGTAAGGTGTTAAAAATCTAAAGTACCACTAAATGCATCAGTTTGACTGCCTCATTAAACTAGTTATTGGTAGTGCCATAAATATTGATTTGTGTCATATGGGTATTGGTCTCAATCAGTAATAGTCCTGTTACTGTCAGTGACATTGATGTGAAAGGTGGAGAGACCTGCCACAGTCCGGGTGTTTAAACCCTGTCTCATCTTCCAGATGCGCATGTTCATTAACTACGATAACGCCACCAAGCAGCTGGACTCCGTGTACGACATCAAACACGCCACTGCCAAGGCCTTCCTGCGGCGCGTCGGCGCGTGTGGGTTCGACATGGCCAACACCTCCATCGCTTACAGGTCTGCCCCCCTCCGCCCGGCCTGCGCTCCCCGCACGAGGAGGGGAGATCCCCGTTTGCCCCCTAGACCCCTGGCGTGGGCTGCATGTGGTCTGTCTGCACAACCTTTTTAGCACACGTTACAGAAGTCTTGGTCTGTTTTGAAACACGATTGCGTTTTCTTCTGAAGAAAGCCAGATGGGTTTTGTAAGGGTCTGTAATGCCATGTGACGCCTTTCGTTTTCCAGGTGTCGCAACACATTTTTTTTTTACAAGATGAAATGTGAGTGTCTTTACATTCAAGCGTGAAGGAGGTGCTTTTAGAACTCCGTTTAAATGATTTACTCTTGCCATTCTTTTTTAAAATGCAGCCTTTCTAACATGTGTTGTGGATTACTAGTAGAATAAAGAAATAATGATAAGAAAGCAGCGACATCATATTTTCCCACATGAGAGCTCCAGCCGCTCCGTTTCTTTTCCGGACCTGTTTTGGAGTTTGCCATGTGGTCAGTCTGTGGCTCAGCCGTCCTGGGCAGTGTGTTTATGAGATGAGTGGTGGAACAGGGCTCAGATCTCGGCCCTGCGGTGTCTCCACTCCAGGCTGGGCCTGCTGGTGTGTTTCTATGACAACGCCCAGCAGCTGGACGTCGCTGATGCCCGCAGCCTCCTGCACCAGCTCATCAAATGCAACCAGCTGCGAGGAAACCAGGCGGATGTCCAGAAGGTGAGGGGCAACGCTGGGGGGGCACCGCACTGGGGGTGTCTTCGGGGAGCGCAGACCAGACACACTGAAAAGAGAGGCTGAGTAGATTCGTGCAGGGAGGAAAGTAACAGTCATGAGAGCCTGCAGAGGCACCTGGGAAAGACCTTGTCTGTCAGGCTGACAGACCGCAAGTGTAAGAACAGAGAAGAAATACACCACAGAGCATGCAGTTTAAAGCCACTTAATCTCAGCACAAACCCAAGTGTGCACATTATATTTTTATATTAGCCATTCCTTCACTGCTTCATTCTATATTTCTTTCTGTTAACTCTTCTCTTGTCTTTCTGTCTCTCTTCTCACTTCTCCTGACCTCCATTTCTTTCCCTCCTCTTTCCATCCCTTCCTTTCTCATGACCTCTGCCTTTCCCTCCTCCCTCCTGTCTCTCCCCACTCCTGCAGCTCAAGTCTCAGCTGCTGGCCATCGTGATGAGGAACCGGACCCTGAACGAGTCTCTGGGCTCGGTGTCGGATGCCGTGGTGGGCCTGACGCCCAGCCAGCTGGAGTCCCTCTCAGCCCAGGCGGTGCAGAGCTCCATCGCGGTGCTGCAGCAGGTCTCCGGCTGGACGCGCAGCCAGACCATCGTGCTGGTGCACAAGTACATCGGCACCAGCAAGGTGAGCCGGGATTGGCCACACATTCAGGGGAATGTAGTCTGGAAAAGCCCTTCCTCCCCCCAACACTCCAGGGAGCAGTTCTCTACATACACATCCCAGAATCTGTCCCATTCGCATCAGAGCAACAGCTTAATCCTATTGGAATAAATGGGCCCTGGTGTTATCTTCTGCTAATGCTCACCTCTCCTCACTCCAGCGCTGAGTGTCTGAGTCTTTTTAGCGGAGCAGGAATGTTGGCTGGCATTACAGGTCGCGTGGGCCTGGGCTGGTCTCAGTCGTCGTCAATCGTTTCTCTCCCTTCCTCTCTTCTCTTCCCTCCCCTCTCTCCGTCTGCCTGCAGTTCCTGTCTTTCAGTAACATCAGCCAGCTGGGCTCCCTGATCTCGGGAGTGGATGCCAATCTGTTCTACAGCGTGACCACGGAGGAGCTGTCGCGGGCGCTGGAGAGCACCCTGTCCCGGTACTCTGCTCAGCTCAACCCCGCGCAGCAGCACGCCATCGTCAGCCAGGTGCGCCCCGGCGGAGGCCGTACTGTCCATCTACAGCACGTGCGCCCCATGCCCGCCATAAGTGATGATGTGCTCGCCATTTAACGAGCTGTTGTCTGCAAGCCACGAACAAGAAACACTGCGCTAAAGGGAGATCTCCTGCGGCTCGGGCTGCGTCCTGTTTCCGGGCAGATGCTGACGGCCGCGGACGTGGGGGCTGTAGTGAGGCGGATCCCGGGCCTGTTCTTCCTGGAGGTGTCGCTGTCCACCCTGCTGAGGCTGCCGAGCCTGGAGACTGAGGAGCTGGAGCAGAAGCAGCTGACTCGCAGCCAGGTAGGGGCGCCCGCCCCTGGGACGGGACGGGAACACTCTCCGAGGTCCCCAGACCCTCTCGGGAAGTTCCTTCTCCATGCTGACGCTTGACCGGTGGTTCCTCAGAGCAGTGCATCAGCTGACCGAGCCTTTCTGTGGTTCTCTCTCTGCCTAGGCCTTCTTCTTGTACGGTTCACTCTCCAGAAGGACTTCCACCACGGACTTGATCAGGTGAGAGTCTGGGAGCAGACGTGTCGATCTCGGTGGACGTTCACTGTCGCAGCTCCGTCACAGGGCAACCTGGTCTTGTCGTCTCTCGAGCAGGTCTGGTTAGCCCCAGGCGCGACTCCAGCGTTGGGTCTCATGTTCTTATCCCTTTAAAAATCTGATGTAGATGAAACCCCACTACCTTCGTTGGATTAAGGTTTGCTCCCCCACTCTCTTTCCTGGGGGCTTTATTGAGTTGGTCTTCTCAATTAACAGAAGGGCTGATTGAAGAGCTCAGCAGTAGGGTAATGCCGGCCTTGTACAGGTGTGTCTGGGAGAGGTGAGGCTGAACACCTACTGGGCTGCCACCCAGCCGGTGACTCCCTGTCTGTGTGCCTCTGTGACTCACAGCACTGGACAGCTCCTGAAAGGCATCTCCTGCGAGGACATCCAGAGAATGAACAGCAGCTCCTTCGTCACCAACTTCACCCTCTTCGAGAAGAACTTCCACCTCCTCTCACCTTTCCAGGTACTGAGCTCCACGGAGTCAGGGTGGGTGAGAGGGGGGGTGCAGGGGGTGTAGCCTGCCTCTTCGGCTAGATTCTTTTTAAACTGGGTATGTGCAGGTGCACTCAGGAATATCTCATAGAAATGAATGTGGTTTTATTGGTTATGTGCAGCGCTGGCTTCAGTTTCAATACTGGTGCTGTGTGCCATGTAGCTTATACATTCCAGAGAGTGCTGTGTTTGGGATTTGAGCAGGGGACTGAGCGAGGCTTGGTGAGGTTAGGGGGTCAGTGTGAGTTTAGCCACAGGGCGAGACCTGGAGTTGGAGCAGGGAGTAAAATATGTGCTGCAGACTCGAATCGCTGATGCGTTAATGCTGAAAGAATAACGCCTCTCCTCTGCTGGCTGTGTCAGATGAACTGCCTGGCCTGGAAGTACTGGGAGGTACTACACACCACCAACACGACGATCCCCCCACTACTGCTGTCTGTGCTGCCGTGAGTGTCGCCGAAGTGCCCACCTTCGTGTTGCACGCAGGATACGTTTGTACAGTTTGAGCACGTGTGTGCCTCGTCAGCTCAGTGGGGTGGGGATGCAGTCCATCGGTGCAGTGCCCTTGCCAGCCTCTGTCTCTCCCTGCAGTGTGGAGTACCTGGACAACATGCCCACCTCCTCCTGCAAGAGTTTCCTGGGGGCTCTGGGCCGGGTCAGCCTGGACCTGCTGACCGTCTACGAGGAGAAACAGGAGGCCGTCATCAAGAAAGTGCTGCAGTGTCTGGTGAGTGCTTGGACCCCGAGCCCTGCCAGCCTCGCTCCCTGGGAGAGTCTCTGGGCAGTGGAGGAGTCAAAGGTCACAGCAGAAGAGCTCAGGGTCTGCAGCCATCCTGCTCCCAGTTGCAAATGCACTTGAGCTTCCTGTTCTCGTGGAATTGCATGACTAACCAAGAGCCACCAAGTCGTTGTAGGAGTAAGGCACTAGCTGCCCAGCCATGTGGTTGGAGCCGATACTCAGGCTTCTTTCAAAAGATGGCTGGATTCTGTCCTTGGATCAGTTAACTACTAGCTACAAAACGTGCTAGATGGGCTCTGTAAGGTCAGAGCAGGTTCTGTTGTGCCCCTCCAGGTCAGGCACAAACTAGTTTTCTGCTAGTCTGCAGCCTGTGGGGTGTGCAGCTGGTTACATATTGGGTTATTTTTCAGAATGTACTACTGATCTGCTCGAAACAGTCCAGCAGTGATGATGTCACTTCCTCTGCTCACCACTACTTCCCATTAGAGAATAAGACCAGTCTGTGGTACTGCTGGATACTTTGACATTGTTGCACCCTTGACAGATCCTGCACACATTCAGCCTCACGTGGGCTCCTCCGTACAGTGCAGGGGAAGCCACAAGCCAGGGTGATCAATCCCTTTAGCCCCCTACGTGTAGCACGAGCCTGCAGTGAAAAAGCGAGAGTCTGTGTGTCTCTCTGCCCCCTGGAGGAGGAGGAGGAGGCTCGAGCCGCGTGTGTCTGCCGTTGCAGGGCGAAGGGGTCAGGGATGAGTACGACGTGGACGTCATGGGGCAGCTCCTGTGCCACCTGCCCGCCAACACCATCCGCGCGCGCATCGCCCCCCCAGCCCTGCCAGCCGCCCTGCGCCAGTTCCGGAGCTGCCCGAAGCTCAGCCAGGAGCAGAAGGACGCGGTCAAGAGCAAGATGGCACAGCTATACGGGTGAGCGCCTTCCTCTCCACCGATCGACAGCGTGGCTAGGGGTGACAGCAGGGGTGACTGTGTTAGTGCTCGTTTCTGTAATGCAGTTAGAGGGACTAGCATGGACACTGCTATTACTCAGTCATTTTGGACAACAGCAATCTGATCTGGTGGGCACCACAATTAAGCCCTCTATATTGAATAAAATGAAATATAATTATAGTAGCTGTAGTAACATCATTAGTTGCAAGTGGTATTTCTATACCAAAGACAATCGCAGCCTCACTAATGTTAAAAACGTTTTTCGACCTCACATTTTCTTGTCTGTGATGAATGTTGGGCTCCGCATTTATTGGGTGCTGTGCTGGCTGTATGTTGGACCCTGGTCTGCTGTATGCACAATTGCTCCCATTCCTTTCTTCACTGGTGTGAACTGTGCAGGAGCCCGCAGGGCTGGAGCGCAGAGCTGGCGCAGGACCTGGGGCCGCTGGTCACCCTGCTGTCCAGGGAGGAGATCACCGCCATCGCCAACAAGGTGCTTTCAGACCGTAGCCACTCTTGAGTTGTTACTTACTGTAGGCACTGTTCTTATTCACAAATGAAACGTTCTAGGCCTTGTGGATCAGTGAAACGTTGGTAAGACATGGAACTAATGAAGAATGTGCTCATCTGGATGCTGCAGGCGTCTCTCTTTCTTCAGTCCTGAACCAATGTCCACTCATTGCTCCCTTCCAATAAACTGATTTCACTCCTTGACCTTTTCTCTACCCCGCCTCCTCCTGTCATTCCCTTTTCCTCGCTGCCTCTCCCTCGCACAGTACCCAGAGGAGGTGCTGCCGTTGGCCGCGAGTGGAGCAGGAGGCTCTCTGCCAGAGGAGTTTCTAGCTGCCCTGTTTGACTCTGTGCGTGGGACTGGCGCCGGAGAAATCACAGCCACCAATCCAGAGTCAGGTAAGAGATACAGCGCCCAGTCTCAGCCACACACCGCAGCACACCTGTGACCTGTGACGGTGCCGCATTTCCACAAAATACTTCTGTATTGGAGCCCCACATTGGGAGTATGGTACGTGTGTGGAAATTGCAGCAGGTTTTGCAGACATTGAGAATTCCTGACATTGCAACACCGGTTTACAGTTACGTGGTTATGAAACTCTTTTTGTGCTGTTTTCTTCATTGGTCTGAGACATCAGAGCCCCACAGTAGTCAAAAAAGGCTTTGGCATTGCTCTCCCAGCACAGTGCGATGCAGTCAGAGCGCCATCTGTTGACGAGATCAGGAAGCTGCTGGAGGCCAATGTTTATTGGTCAGACGTGGAGCTGCAGTGCATGAGCGATGACACCTTCACTCAGACTGTGGAGCTGCTGGGGTCTGTGAGCCGGTACAACATGTCCCAGCTCAGCACGCTCAAGACCCGGGCCATGCAGGTGTGTCCTGTCTTCTCTGCTGCTCTCCACTGACCTTTGAGCGCTGATTGTGTATTATTGTGGTAACATTATAAAATACACCATAATTAGCTTTTCTGCATATCTGTATCGTGATAACTCTTCTTTAATTGAACTGATTATTGACATTGCCACCTTGGACTAAATTAGCACAGGTTCTAGGTGAGGGGCAGGAGTGATCTCTGTCCTTCCTCTTCCTGAGCCAGGCATGGGGCGCCCTATCCACCTGGAAGAGTTACCACGTGATCTCTCTGGGTGCGATTGCACTGGCCTTAACAGTGGAGGACATCCAGGAGCTGGACCTGAGCTCCATCGACACGCTGACTGCGCTGAGCCAGCAGACAGCCTGGAGTCCACAGCAGGTCTCTTGCTGACGTCCTCACACGCTTCACACAGCTAGTGCACATTTCATCTAGAAATCGTATGACACGTTTCCCTGAATGCACAAGAAAATTAAGAATTTAAACAAGGTCTTGTTGCTTTGATGCATTGAGAATGGCTTGTGAATGAGAAATGGGGATGATGGGAGAGTGTCAGTTTAGAGGACACATTTTGCCTTGATGGTCAGATAAGATAATAAATTCATGGAAGGGGAAAGTGATATTCCTCGGTCTAAATATGAAATCCTATTGTCCTGTTGTCCTGCTGTAAGTGATTCTACAGCTGGTGTTCTTAATGCATGGTCTAGCCCCTTGGCTTAAAATGAGAATTTAGCCTGATGATGACAATGATGATGACAATTATTATTATTATATCATTTCAGTTATAATAATTGAATGCATTGGGCCTCTGTTTAATTGAGAGTTAAGAGATACTGTAAACTGAGTGTGTGAACAGCAAGAGCCTCATGGTGTCTGCACTGTGCTCAGAGTGCAGGAGTACAGGTTCTCCAGCTCTGGATGGGACAAAGAGGAGCTACATAGAGACACCGATATTAATAGGCCTTAACTGTATTGGTTGTAACACACCGTGTCAGTGTCCTTCTTATATTATGAACTGTATGTGACTGTACCGCTGTCTCTCTGTCTGTGGCCCCCCAGCTGTCCAGCCTGCTGTCCCGGTTCCTGGAGACATCTGGCTTGACCTTGGCGACCCTGCGGGGGTCTGACCTTGCTGGGCTGGGGGTGATCCTGTGCGGGGTGGAGCCCAGCCAGGTGCACCTCATCGGCCCTGCGGCGTACAGGTGAGTCTGGGGGGTGGTGTTGAGCAGCAGGGGTGGTACTGGGGGAGCTGTGCATTCACGCTGTGCCCACTGTGCCTGGCAGTGCTACGGCGGCCCGCATCGGCACGCTGCCCTGTGCCCAGCCCGTGCTGCGGGAGCTGAAGAAGACCGCGGAGAGGGTGTTTGGGGCCGTCGGCACCTGGAACAGCTCCGTGCTGCAGGAGGTGGGGGCTGTGGCAGGTGGGCGTCCTTTAAAACTGGCTCACGTCTCCGGTTCAGTCTCTCCGTCTCGCCAGATTATTGTGTGAAGATTTATCACAGACGTCTGGATGGGGTGCTGTCCTTTTGTATATACCGAGAAGGAGTTGGGCCAATTTGTCTGTACACATGATGTCTCTTTAGCATGCGGTGCCACAGCAGCATGCACGACATGCAGCACAAGACCTCCACAAGTAGTTCTTTCTGCCCTTACTGCAGCCGGGATGACTGTGGAGGAGCTCAGGGCCCTGCGTGCAGAGCTGATGCCCTATCTGCAGCCAGGGGCCGTCGCTGCCATCCCCCCCGAGCACTTCAGGGTGAGTGGAGCTGGGAAGCTGCGCCCTGCGGTACACTCAGCTAATAACCCCGCATGCGCACGTTTCCTGTCATCTGTCCTTCTTGCATGTCCTTGAGACGTTGCGAGACAATCTCTTGGGGCCTGAGCCCGGGATGGCTTGACGCTGAAGGAGCGAGTGGTGCGGCGTGCTTGCGTGTCCTGCGGTGCGTGTGCGGTGCTCTTACCTGGCCAGTGCACGCCTGACAGTGTGTCTGCCCCTGTGATCCCCCGGGGCAGGAGCTCTCCCGGGAGCAGATTCAGAGCCTGGGCCCGGAGAACGCGGCGGCAGTGACTCCTTCCCAGTGTGCCCACCTGAGCCAGGAGCAGCTGCAGGGCCTGCAGGCGGCACGAGACGGGCTGAGAGACAGCCATGTCAGTGCCAACCAGAGCCCGGGCACCGTCAACTCCGGTACAGGCCAGACTCTTCCTTCCTTCCTCTTCCTAAACAGCACCGCCTCTCTACTTCAACACAATCGCATCACGCGGTTTCTAAAACTCAGAATCTGTACTTTTTATAGAAGAGCAATGTGCCCTTCCCTGTAGGACTTTCCACAAACAGGCTTCCATAATCCCGAGCTCCATGCTGCCCTGACCCCAGTACAGTTCTGCATTTCCCAGACATGTTTTCTTGATGTAATCGACTCGCATATGTTGCTGAGCCGAGCTCGACAGGCTCTGCTCCATGTGACTGCAGCTCCAGCAGCAGCACGATGAAGCTCAGCATGTGAGATAGAGCTCCTTCTGCTTTCCTGGTGTAGCATTGCTCCTTGTTTACTACCCAGCCCGAGGGAGGGCCACAGGTGCGGGCTCTCTCCACAACGCCGTCTCTGTTCACGGCCGCTCTTTGTGTTCCTGTGCAGGGGCCCGCCTTCGTTTCGGCTCTCCGCTGTGGCTCTGGACAGCGTGCTCCTGCGGATGCCTCCTCGGGGAGAGACTGCTATAGCAGCTCCTGGACGCCCGAGGAGCTGCAGAGACGAGCGCTCTTGTTCAACCTGCTGCCAAAAGTGATGCCAACGATTTTGTAAAAAAAAAAAAAAGACATCTTTGACCATTGTGTTTTGCTTGTGAAACGTACAAAAGAATGTGTAGGCCTAGGTTACTGTAGAGCAGATAGCACAGGGTCTGTGTGCTTGAGCAGCAGGCTAAAAGGAGTTGAGGTGTAGACCTTGCACATTGTTACATTCCATAATTTAGTACATTTTCTGCCTGCGAGAACTTTTGTGCTATTTACACTTTGTATCTGAATATTGGCTTCTTGCCTTAAAAGAATGTTTTTAACTAGTTATGCAGGTAGCGTTTGAGTTAGAGCTCTGAAACTCCACAGGAGAGCTGTGGGATTCCATGTGGAGAGGTGGCAATGGCGAATGCATCTTCTAAGCACTGCAGTGATGGAGCGGTTTGCCCCCTCTTGTCTGAATACCTCTCCTTTCACACTTGGAGTTCAGGTATCCCCAACAACAACAGACACAGTATCTGTCTCACATAAGTTCTGATTTAATTCTCTCATTCTGATCACAGCTTCTTGAGAGAACTGGAGGGCTTTTCGAGACCTTGAAAGAAAGCCCACCATGATGTCACATGTTCTCATGTCATCATATTTCACAGAGGAGCTGAGAGTGATATAATTTGCTATGTGCGAAGGCAAGCCTAGTGAGTAACGTTTTGGACAAGTGTTAATAAGCGCTGGTGTAAATTAGTGTCTGTTAGGGTCCTGGAGTTTCAGTACAGAGTAGGTACATGGGATTGCCTGATTACAGACTCCCTGTGACTTTGTAGCATCTGCAATTGCTTGCCAAGGAGTATTTAAAAGTACTGGGTTATGTTGCATGTTGAAAATGTAAAAGCATAGTGCAGTATGAGTCCAAGTTAATGACATCACATTCTGTATAAAACTCTATATGAAATACTGGATTGCTTCTGTTCGACTTCTAACGACCTTTTTGGAAATTAGCAGGTTAATGACCATGCAGCAATACCCATAGTGGATGTGAGCCAACAGGAGTACATGCTTAGTGTAGGAACTGATGTTTAGAGTAATGAAGTAGTATCCTTGCAGGAGGAGACCACAGACACAGTTCTTATTTGCAACACGTGTAAAGCTGCCACTTTCTTTAATTTTATATGCTTCAACTTACTGTTCTCTTTTTACAATGTGAAATTCACTGTGAGGGTCTTCACAACAAATTAATGATATATTTGATAACCAATAAACAGATTTTATTGTAACACATCATTTATTGTGGTTTCACAGCTGTAACACCGAGTGACTTCGAAACATTCTCCTTCCGGCTCACAGCTCTCACACCCGGTCGTCTCCCAGACTGGCCACTGTGATCAGTCCATTCGCTCTGGGCTTTAATTACACCCCCTGTCAGAAAGGCAAGTTCTCAGCCCAGTGCTTGTGCCAGACTCCAGTAGGGTAGTTTGCCATTGCTGAGCTACTTCATCTATGCTTCAAAAGGGCTGTATGAGAAACACCTGTGGAACCTTCAGTATACCCCCTGTGTGTGACTGTCACACTGATTTAGTGCTGATCCCACTTTAAAGCTCTTCTGTTTCGCATCTGCAATTGCACTAGGGGGTAGCAAAATTGAGAAAACGTGTCTTTTGTGGATAGGCCAGATGATTTCACTCCTAAGCTACAGCACTATCAAATGCACAATGCCTGTGCTTCTCTGTTTGGTTTTCCGTGTGATCTGCACTCCAGAACAGGCTTGTGCAGCTTAAAGGGGTTTTCTTTCATTCGTTTGAGTTTACAGTAGTTTTCATTCCACTTTGGCCCTGTTTACTCAACCACAAGCCCTTCAGAAAGCAGGTCAGACCGGCACCTTGCTTTGTCCTGGTTCGAGACAAACAGAGGCGCTGTGTGGAGCAGCAGTAAGGGGCTCTTGACATGTCACTGGAAGCTTGTGGGTTCAAATTCCAGCTGAGACACAGGTAATACACCCTGGACTGCTGTATTTCACTGAATTATGCCAGTTGTATAAATGGGTGCAAATTAACATAGGAGTGTAGGTCAAATAAACTGACAATAATAAGGTCTTGGGGCCATGAATGGCCCATGTTGCAAACACTGGAAAGACTAAAAGAGCACTTGTAACCTACTGTCTCTGTGTTGCCTGCAGTGTTAGGGCTCCCATCAGGCTTGTAGAGTTTTTAGTTTTATCTCCGACTTGCACCATTTGCTCTGTGCTTCAGTATCGGAATGCATTGCAGGAAATGCATCTTTTATTCAGCAAACCCCAAACACTCAGCCCCTAGATGCATCAAGGGAGAGATTAATTTAAAAATGACTTTTAGACACAATATTGGATAAAACGCTTAGAAGATGGACAGACGTCATTGAAATAACTCTTTAAATAGAACATTTTTCTATGTGTTTCGGACGCACTGTCTCTAATGTGATTCGTACTTTCCGTTAAACGGACTGCTTTATTCTTAATAAAGCAATAATTTTTGACATGGTGCTCCGACATCCTTGACAGATGTTGCTAGGCGCTGCTCGGGTTCAGGATACACATCCGGTTGCATTGGGTGTGCTCAGCTGACTCACAGCCACAGGCCCCGCCCCCACGCCGGCCCCTGGACGTGGCGATTGGACAGAAGGGGTGGTGATGGTGTGGTTGCGTCATCAACAATTTAAAGGCATATCTGCGGCCGTCTGGTGGTGTGCGCCGACAAAAAAAAGGCTAAACGGGATAGTTTAGAGTTTCTTATGAATGAGAGCTCCTCTGTGTTGTTATTTTTGTAAAAGTAAATACAAAATAACTCTAGCACTATAAAAACGATAAGGTCAACTATAATCACTGCACTCAATCACTTTAACGGGTTGATGTTCATAAAACTTTTCTCGAAACAATGCAATGTATTGGCAAAGCAGTAAGTCTTCTATGCAAACTTTCATTTTGCTGTGAAAGAGCAGGACTGAAATCAACGCGCGACATTGTGCATCAAAGGAAGTGCCGTCAGTCCTGCGGAGTGTTGATCTGGGCACTCCGGGCCATTGCATTGATCACAGGGGTTGGGGGTGAGAAGTTCGCCTTTGTCCGTAGGTGGGGTCACCAAGAAGGACTTCTGAGCACGTTTAGAAAAACAAACTCTTCTCATTGTGAAAGAGTCCTGGAAGCATTTTTAAAAACGTTTTTATTTCAACAACAAGAGAAAATACAATTCAAACAAGTGAACACATAGCACATCAATAACACCGTCAGGGGTACGTATTGCAATACAAATTCACATTATGAAAGTTTGAACAGAGTAAATATTCACTTTGTGTATATAATAACGTGCCAGTATAACAATTAAGCAAATTACACAAGATAGTTTAGTAATTTATCCAATGGGATTGAAGTTTCACATGACGTCTATTTCTATATGATATATCATAAAAAATAATATCAATATACTTTTTTAAAATAAATTTGCAGATCAATCCGGAAGGTTCTTTTACAACAGGACAAAATAAATGTTGAATGGTTTCAGTGCTACTTCACGCAGTTGTCATCTCTATCGGTTTTCAATCTCCGCACTGTCCAGAACACGTCACGGTGTACTCCATGCTGAAGAGACACCGGAGCCCTCTTCAGGGGTGAGAAAGAAGAAAGTCGCAGCAGGAAAGTAGACTCACCTGTCCCATGGTAAAAACTTTCTGGACTGAGCTGCAAACATATTTTTAAAAAAGAGACCAATACTGATATTTGTTTTGAAGAAAACGATGTTATGTTAAGTTTCAGCCCCATCGAAAACAACACTAAAATACCATTCATCATAAATGTAATTATTATAATGGCACGTTATTATATACACAACATCAAGCAGTCTGGGAAGAATCCTATGTTTGGGGATTTTAAAACGGATGTAAAGGAATATGTACAGACTATTTCAAAATGTTTAAAAAACTATGAAAGCGGAGCGGCCGTCATTTTTATTTAACTTTTCTTTTTTTTTCAGAATGTGAACTGATCTTGGACTATGGACCCCTGACGATGTTTTGCTCTTGAAATGTTATATATATACTCCTGCTGGTAATGTTTGTCGTTGCCAGGGACCTGTGCAATACATTTATATTTATATTTATATTTATATTGTGCAATATGACTTTTTTGTGTGCTGTTCTGTGCTGGTTTGCTCTTTGTGTGTTCTGGACTGTGAGCATCTCTTCTTAGTGCAGTCCTCACTGTACTGATTGTATTGTATTATTATTGTATCATTCGTTACACTGTGGCTGTGTTAAGCTGCTGTTGCACTGCACTGTCCCACACGGGATTATTAAAGTATCTATCTATCTTCTGCACGAATGAAGAGAGGAGCCCCCACACGCTCCTCCCCTTTAACAGGCGTGCTCGGCGGAGCTGGCGGGTTCCGCCGCTGTCCCAGCCTGCTTTGAGAGTTCGTATTTTTGGCCACGTCCCCAGGCCACGTCGCTCCTCGCTCGCCATTTTTCTCGCACTCCGGCTCGCTGGGAAGGCAGCGGGGCTCTGACAAGCGCTTCGGCACAGGCTGAGAGACGCCCTCCACCCACCCACCCATCCGCTCCCGCTCCCGCTCCCGACTGACCGCGCCGGCCGCCGCGTCCGCCACACCGCCACCCGCCATGAACGTGTTCAGGCTCACCGGGGACCTGTCCCACTTGGCCGCCATCATCATCCTGCTGCTCAAGATATGGAAAACCAGGTCTTGCGCCGGTAGGTCCGGGTGCCTCTTTCCTGCCCGCGTACACCTACAGCCCCGCACCGACGCATGCAGGTGCTCGGAACCGCGGGCCGTCTTGCGTTTTCGGGTTCGGGGTCCGAAGTCCATCGGGTTTTTTCCGAGTTTCATTTTTTTTTTTGTGCGTGTGTGTGCACGCTGAATGATCTCTTTTTTTTTGTGGTGGTGGTGGTGGTGGGGGGGAGGGTTAAGTTTCTTTTTTATTTGTGTGTGTGTGCATGGTAACTCCGTGATCGCAGGCGAGTAAACTCGCACAGTCGCCTTTGCAGGAACGCAGGTGTGAGACTGGGGATGTAGCCCCCCCAGTCGTCTGGGGCTGTTGAAGGAGCAGGTCTGATCTGCCTGAGCTAATCCCACTCGCTTTGCTCGTATTCGGTGGTGCTTCTGACGTTTTGCAAAACTTCAGCGGCAGTTAGTGTCTGAACGTTTAATGAGGCGTCCCTCTTTTTTTTTTCTTTCTTTCTTTCTTTCTTTTTAAATGGGCGTGCAGGCATGTTGTGAGTCTCTCTGTAAACAGCAGCTTGAGAGCCGATCTGTGGCGAAGTCGGTTGAAGAGTGGCAGGACGTGTTTTGAGATGTGTCTGATCGTTGAGTTTCAGTACCTCAAGGAGAGAGCGCACCCGTTCCCCTGACTTCATTCATTCCGCTCGCTGCGGTGGTGCGACACGTTTGTTGTTGTCTCTTTGCACGACCAGCAACGTGTAAGTCCACAGGAATGCGCTGGAGATGTGCCCTGGCCGGGCAGTAGACAGTAGCCCAGAGATGGTCTTTGCAAAGTCTGGAGGGAATACGTGACCCTAGATGCCAAATACCCGAACTTTCTTGAAACCCAAAGTTTCTGGAGATGAGCTTCCAGATCACCGACTTCACTCCGGTCGGCAGGAGTATCATCTCGGGAAGAGCCGGGCGAGTGCAGGGGGAGGAGGTCTCCATCTTGCAATCCCCAAGTGGGCTCCGCGGGAGAGGACGCCTTTAATTCAGGCTTTGGGAGTTTATTCTCCTTCCTAAAGTCGTGGGGCCAAGTTCGGCGCTCGATTGCCTGGCCTGGGGTCTGACGTGGCAGCCCGCTGGAAAAAGCCTGAGCTCTTGAGAGGAGAGGGAGGCTGGGACGTGTAGTGTAAAGTCTAGTTATGTAAAACTTGTCGGGGTGATAACCATCCCCGGGTTGCCCATTAGCAGTCCATAGCGAGAAATTAAGTGCTTTGAAACGTTTGGTCTTTTTTTGGTGGTGGTGGTGGTGGGGTATAGTATCTGGAATGATTCCCAAGTTGCTGAAAGTAGAGTAGACGGGTTTTTTTTTGAGGGGGAGGTGGCTTGCGTTTAGCAACCTAAAAAACAGAGACGATAACATCAGCTGGTGCTAAGTGCATCCCTGTTGTGCGAGTTCTGCTGCGAGATACACGTCGTCCTGTTATCCGAGTTCCACGTGGCTGTGAGACGTGTGAGGGGCTTGTCGTCACTCCTTCGCGGAGAGCCCTGATCCTCATGTCCGCAGTCAGGAAGGCACTCCTCATGTGCGTTTGCCAAACGCCTGCTTTGAAAATAACGGGGTTTTTAATGCTCAGAGCTGAGGTTTGTGAATATTTTGTATTGTTTAGTGTGCAGTTGGGGTCCTTAGGAACTCCACAGGTGAGCGCCACCACGCCTTCGAGTGTGGAGATGAGCCAGGGTGCTCGTCAGGGGTTTCACCTTACCCTGCTGCGCCTTTGCAAGTGAAAGGAGGATCTGCGCGATGGGGATGCTGTAACCTGCTGTGCTGTTGTGCTGGTCGTTCCCCAAACTCCAGCAGTTTTCGATCTCGTCTCTCTAACCT